AACCCCAAAACACAAAACCCCAAAACACAAAACCCCAAAACACAAAAAACCAAAACAAAAAAAACCAAAACAAAAAACCAAAGCAAAAAACCAAAACAAAAAAATCAAAACAAAACAAAACCCTTGAACATTTCACTATTTGAAAAATATAAAGAATTTAGGATTTATATTCATTTGTATCAGTAACATTTGCTGCAAAAGAGGTAAGAGTGTACTTGGCTCAAAACCCAGATTCTCTACCTATGGAAAAGAAATCCAGCCCTGTCTCCTAAGCTTTTTCCTCACATCAGCACCTTTGTTTCACTTTGGGAATTCCCAAACAGGCATTATCAAGCCAGGCTGCATTTCTGCTCCAGCCAAGTGATTCCTGTCTCCCATCCCTTCAGGACAGGCTCTGACAGAACTTACTTCCAAAGCTCCTCCTTGCACCTTCTTTATTCCAATCATTTTGAGCTGTAACAAGTCATCCAACATCATGACAGCATCTACAACCATCTTGGAGAAGAACTCCTTGCTCTGGGAGATCAGTTTGGAGCTCAGGGCTGTGGCTGCACACTTCTCCAGGAGGCTCCTCTGCTCACTGCAAAGAGGAAGAACAAGGGCTTGTCACTTGATAAATCTTTTCCCAAGCCCAAAGCACTGTTTGGCTTCATTAATCAGAGAATTGTTTCAGCTGGAAAAGATCTTTAAGATCATTTAGTCCAGCACTGCCAAGGCCACCACTGACCCATATCCCCAAGGGCCACATCCACAGGGATTTTAAACCCCTCCAGGGATGGGGATCCACCACTGCCCTGGGCAGCTGTGCCAGGGGGGGATAACCCTTTCCAGGAAGGAATTTTCCCCAATATCCAACTTAAACCTCTTCTGGTGCAATTTAAGGCCATTCCCTCTCCTCCTGTCCCTTGTTCCCTGGCAGCAGAGCCCGACCCCCCTCCCGGCTCCCCCCTCCTGTCAGGGAGTTGCAGAGCCAGAAGGTCCCCCCTGAGCCTCCTTTTCTCCAGGTTGAGCCCCCCCAGCTCCCTCAGCTGCTCCTGCTGCTCCAGCCCCTTCCCCAGCTCCGTTCCCTTCCCTGGAAAAGCTCCAGCTCTTGGCATGAGGGGCCCAAAATCTCTCTGAGGCAAAGATCAGCTCCCTCCTGTCAATGGGGAGAACGAGACACACACACAAACCCCAAAATCCCAGTCTCCCTTTTAGAGCCTGAGTACCAACCCAGCACTGACCAGGTTGATTGGCTTTTAGACACCTAAAACCAGGAAAGCAGCAGGTCCTTTCCCTCATCCAAAGGCAGGAAGTTGTTCCTAAAACCCCCTAAAGGCAGCACATTCTCTCAAGTATTAACTCAGGTTAATTATGTGTAACCCAGTGGGTGATATAAGAGACACCAGGGAAATACGGATCCAACTGCAGGATCTCTCCCTCCAGCTCCTGCTGCCCATGGGAACTGCTGTATTTCTCATCCCAGGACACCATTTGGCTTGTTTTTTTCAGCATTTTTTCACCATCTGCACAACTCATCTTGGTTTATTTAAGGCGGTTATTCAGTTGTAACACTTCAGATTTACTCCAGGTATTAGCAAGGTCACGCAGACAAGAACTTAAAATCCAGGAAGAAAATGAACTCCAGTATTCTCACCTCAGCTGAAGGGGTCCTTTCCTTACTCCTATGAACTCTCTACCTTCCACTGTGCAACAGCTAAAAAGGGATCTGATCCTCAAGGAATTGTTGAGATTTAACACTGGCACCGACTGCAGCAGGAGCTGCAAGTCTCCTCTGCTGCAAAAAAGAAATCAGGCCACTTATTTTAGTGCCCAGCTCCCTCCCTGTGCACTGGAAGACACTGCCCTAATTATTGCCTGCAGCCAAGTGACAGCAAGGCATCGCTCCCAGAGGAGCAGGAAATTCCAGATAATTTGGGAATAAGCCCAGTGTGGGGCTGAAGCTGTTCGGTCCGACCTCGAGACCTCAGCCAGAGGCACAGGAGAATTCAGGAACACCCTCACACCAGCTCAGCTGAAGCCCAGGAACACAACCAGGTCATCTCCATGGAAAACTTACTCTTTATCTTCCTTCTTCACAGAAACAGCGATGTCTTTGATCTTGTTCACAGCCTGCCAAGACACGGGGCAACAGCTGGATTAATGATTTATGCTCCTGAACTCATCACATCTCCAATTTTTCCCTTTGTATTTTAAGATAATCTTTTATTCCCTGCTTCAACATCACTGAAGTTTCAAGCATTGAAGCTACTCCACCCCTTCCAGCACAGTAATTCCAAGAAACACAGCAATCTAAGAGGAGTGGGAAGAGACTCTGCTGTCTTCTGGGAAAACACAGGGCTTTGGAGGGATTGCACCTGCAAAAAGTCAGTTTAAGGGGACCAAGAGGTTTGATGAGATGCAAGGTTTACTAAGGAGCAGCAGAGATCAGGAGAACGGGAAGGGAATTTTCCTGATTAATCATTCTTCCTTGGAAAAAAAAACACAAAGGGAGAGACAGCACCCCAGAGGGAGTGACTGGTAACAACAGCTCCCTGACAGCAGAAAGGAGCTCATGTTGGCAGGAAGACACCAGGAGATCACCAGTGACATTTAGCATTCAGTTTTCCCAAGCCCAAATCACTGTTTGGCTTCATTAATCAGAGGATTGTTTCGGTTGGAAAAGACCTTTAGGATCATTTAGTCCAGCACTGCCAAGGCCACCACTAACCCATGTCCCCAAGGGCCACATCCACAGGGATTTTAAATCCCTCCAGGGATGGGGATCCACCACTGCCCTGGGCAGCTGTGCCAGGGCTGGACAACCATTTCCATGAAGAAATTTTCCCTAATATCAAACTTAAACTTCTTCTGGTGCAATTTAAGGCCGTTCCCTCTCCTCCTGTCCCTTGTTCCCTGGGAGCGGAGCCCAAGCTCCCACCAGCTCCCCCCTCCTGTCAGGGAGTTGCAGAGCCAGAAGGTGCCCCCTGAGCCTCTGTGGCACAGAACTCCTGTCCCCAGGTGCTCTGCAGGCTCACCAGCTGCGTGGCCGTGCGGAAGGCACGGATGATGATCTGGGGATGGAGCCCTTCCTCCACGTAGGGCTTCACCTGCTTCAGGAACTCGGCTGCCAGCAGAGTCACGGACGTGGTGCCGTCACCAACCTGCAAAGAGAGGGAACAGTGTCACCCACAGGCTGTGACAGCACCTGCAAACCATGGAGGGCTGCCAGGGATATCTGAGATTTCAGGGTTTTCTCTGTTTGTGGATTTGTGGGCAGATTCCTTAGTGATTCGTTGAATCATGGAATGGTTTGGGTTGGAAGGGATATTAAAGTTCACCTTGTTCCACCCCCTGCCATGGGCAGGGACACCTTCCACTAGACCAGGGGGCTCCAACCTGGCCTTGGACACTTCCAGGGATCCAGGGGCAGCCACAGCTTCTCTGCCCAACCTGGGACAGGGCCTCACCTCCCTCACAGCCAGGAATTCCTTCCCAATATCCCACCCAAATCTCCCCTCCTTCAGTTTAATCCATTCCCTGTGTCCTGTCCCTCCATGCCTTGTCCCCAGTCCCTCTCCAGCTCTCCTGGAGCCCCTTTAGGCCCTGCAAGGGGCTCTCAGCTCTCCCTGGAGCCTTCTCTTCTCCAGGGGAACCCCCCCAGCTCTCCCAGCCTGGCTCCAGAGCAGAGGGGCTCCAGCCCTGGCAGCATCTGCGGGGCCTCCTCTGGACTCTCTCCAGCAGCTCCACGTCCTTGTGCTGTTGTTCCCAGGGCTGGAGCAGCTCTGCAGGGGGGTCTCAGCTGAGACAGGGGCAGAGGGGCAGAATCCCCCCTGTCCTGCTGCCCAGGCTGTGGGATCAGGGCATGTGGGGGGGTTTGGGCTGGGGCATCTTCAGCCTCTCACCCAGCAACACCCCCAAGTCTTTCTTGGCTCTCAGTCACTTCATCCCCAGCCTGGATTGACACCAGGAACTGCCCCAGCCCAGCTGCAGCACCAGCACTTGGTCTTAGACTAAAAAGAGCTGGGTTTAGACTGCATCCCATTTGGGGTCAACTCCCATTTCCCAGTCTCCTCTACTCATAAAACACAAACTTCACCTTTGAAGTTCCCAAACCAGCCATCAGATCTGGGCGGAAGAGCTCAAAACATTCGAAAGTTATCCCAAAAGAGAGGGGATCAAGAGAGAAACCAGGATAAATCCCAGCACTCCATGAGCAATTCCCAAAGCCCACAGGCTCCCGAGCACAGCCAGGCTCCCATCCCACCTCTGCATCCTGGGATTTGGCGATGTCCACCAAGGTCTTGGCGGCGGGATGGACGACGTCGAGGAGCTTCAGGATGGTGGCACCATCGTTGGAGATCGTGGCTTTGCCTGGGATTGATGGAGAAAAGGAAGTCAAGCTTCACCACCAGGATAAAACCCTCGGCCCTGAGTCTCAGGGGGTCTCAGCAGGTTCCTCTGTTCCATCTCCATAATGTCTCCTCAGCCCATTTTTGGAGCAGATTCAGGTTCAGAGTGCGAAACAACTCCCCACACCAACTAAGAGGGGCTTAGATTTCTCTCTTATTTCTCAGCAGCCTCCCCAGACAGATAAAAACATATTCTGGCCTGAGACTCACATGAAACAAGTCTAGAAATCATACCAGTTATCAGATAAATTTAAATCCAATTACCTTTTTTAACTTCTTTACCACAGTTCCTATTTGTAATAACTATTTAAAGACAATACTAAGACTTTCCACCCCACCCTTGAGTAAACAAAAATAACACACAATAATTAGTTTGGTGACTTCATAAAAGTCTTTTCAGAGCGAGTATGAGTCTCACCCCTAAATCACACTCCAAAAAAAGAATAAAAATCAGCCCAGTAACACCCACTGAGCTCTCAATGAGCCACACTTAAAACATAAATAAATAGAGATGGCCACAAATACCTGAAGGTCAGGTTCAAGACACCCTGTTTCTCCTTTCTGACATGCATTTTCTCATATCCAGTCCCACCACCCCTGGATTTACCCAATCTCACCCCAGGGCCTCCCCAGTCTAACAGCCAAGAATTCCTTTCCAACATCCCACACAAATCTCCCCTCCTTCAGCTTAATCCATTCCCCTGTGTCCTGTCCCTCCCTCCCTTGTCCCCAGTCCCTCTCCAGCTCTCCTGGAGCCCCTTCAGGCCCTGCCAGGGGCTCTCAGCTCTCCCTGGAGCCTTCTCTTCTCCAGGGGAACCCCCCCAGCTCTCCCGGCCTGGCTCCAGAGCAGAGGGGCTCCAGAATCCTGGAATGGTTTGAGTTGGAAGGGATCTTAAAGACCATCGAGTTCCAACCCCCTGGCATGGGCAGGGACACCTTCCACTACACCAGGTTGCTCCAAGCCCCGTCCAGCCTGGCCTTGGACACTTCCAGGGATCCAGGGGCAGCCACAGCTTCTCTACCCAACCTGGGACAGCGTTTTATCACCCTCCCAGCCAGGAATTCCTTCCCAATATCCCATCTAGCCCTGCCCTCTGGCACTGGGAAGCCATTCCCCCTTGTCCTGTCCCTCCATGCCTTGTCCCCAGTCCCTCTCCAGCTCTCCTGGAGCCCCTTCAGGCCCTGCCAGGGGCTCTCAGCTCTCCCCGGAGCCTTCTCTTCTCCAGGGGAACTCCCCCAGCTCTCCCAGCCTGGCTCTAGAGCAGAGGGGCTCCAGCTCCTTGGAGCATCAGAAGCTGAGCTTTGAGCAACATGAAGACAACTCTGAACATCTGGAATTGCGATGGAAGGTCTGGAATTGTGCTGGAAGGTCTCCCTGGAGCATTCCCTTCTCCAGAGCCCCAGCTCTGCACGCAGCAAACAGCGAATTCCTCAGGTTGGTCTGACAATTATCCTTTATTCCACAGCAAAAGTCACGGTGTTAAAGTGACACCGAGACAGAAACTGAACCTCTGCTGGGAGAGTCAAGTTTAGTACGAGGTCAAGAAGCTGAAACTTTCATATATGCAAATGCTGGGATTAACTGATCCGAGGATATGAGTAAACAGGCTGCTCTGGGAGGTGATTCCCAGGTCCCTTTCCCACATCCTTACCCCGGTCATCCACGATGAGCTTGTCCATGCCCCGCGGCCCCAGCGTGGTGCGCACGGCCTCGGCGATCACCTGGCAGGCATTGATGTTGCTGACCAGCTGGGGGATTCCCTGGGAGGTGTCCGTGCCTTCCTTCAGCAGGATAACCGGAGTGGGCTGAGGAGAGAACCAGGAGCCGTCACTCCCATCCCAACGACCCGGAGCAAACTCCTCACACAGCCCACAGCTCATCCAGGACCAAGAGCAAACCCTACAGACTCCTTAAGAGTTCCTCTGCTTTCCACTTCCCACTGTGTTGGGAATTCACCCAACTGCTTCCACTCTGGGACTGCAGAGCAACTGTCCCAAAAATAAAAGGGGGGGTTCTTGGTGGTGTTTTGCTCAGTGAGGTTCTGATTCTGATGCTGGAGTTGGAGAAGACAGAATATGGGATTATTACTGAGACAGCAAGGAACTGAACAAATTTGGGTGGTGGAAGGGTGTTCCCCTGGAGAAGGCTCCAGGGAGACGTGGGAGCCCCTTCCAGAGCCTAAAAGGACTCCAGGAGAGCTGGAGAGGGACTTGGGACAAGGGATGGAGGGACAGGACAAGGGGGAATGGCTTCCCACTGCCAGAGGGCAGGGTTAGATGGGATATTGGGAAGGAATTCCTGACTGTGAGGGTGGAGAGGCCCTGTCCCAGGTTGGGCAGAGAAGCTGTGGCTGCCCCTGGATCCCTGGAAGTGTCCAAGGCCAGGTTGGATGGGGCTTGGAGCAACCTGGGCTAGAGGAAGGTGTCCCTGCCCATGGCAGGGGGTAGAAGAAAATGGTCTTTAATGTCCCTTCCAATCCAAACTATTCCATGAGAGATGCAACTGTCTCACAGACAAAGCCCAGACAAAGACTGAACAGAGCCAAAATTTGGGAGGCACTGGTTTGGAATAGAGAGGAAAATTAAAGCATGGTTGTGACAAGAATAAAAAACACAAGGAGCTACGGTCCTTAAGATGGACCTGGAGGGACTCAATGATCCCTTAAGAGGGTCTGGAGCATCTCTCTGATGAGGAGAGATGGACTTGGATTAGTCTGGAGAAGGCTGAAAGGGGACCTCATTAATCCACATAAATATCTCCAAGGGGTGTCAGAGGATGGTCTCAGACTCGTTCTGGCGGTGCCCAGCGACAGGACACAAAATAAAACACATCAAGTTCCAGCTCAACATGAGGAAGAACTTCTTTCCGTGGAGGTGGCGGAGCCCTGGAACAGCTGCCCAGGGAGGGCGTGGAGTCTCCCCCTCTGGAGACATCCCAAACCCACGTGGATGAGTTCCTGGGTCACCTGCTCCAGGTGACCCTGCCTGGGCAGTGGGGTTGGACTGGGGGGGTCTCTGGAAGTCCCTTCCCACACTATTCTGCAATCCCTAAATCCCGGGAAGGCTTTGTGGACGGAAACGCACGGAGCTCTTCCACACCCGCCAGAGCAGCGATCTCAGTGGAAAAAAGGAACTGTTTATCGCCGGGGGAAACGAGGGTAGAGGCACAAAACCCGAAGGGACTCGTGGCCGGAGGGGAGGGTGCGGGACGGAGCTGCGGGATCAGCCCCGCCAGGACAGCCCTGGACCCGGCGGGAAGCGCCGCCGTCCCGCCCCATCCCATCCCGGCTACCCCAGGCCCGCGCGGCGGGGCGGCCCCATCGCCGCTCCCCCATCGCGCCGCAGCCGCTCGGGACGCGTTCCCCGGAGGGCAGCGGGGGCCCGGCGGGTTGTTCCCGGCGGGAATGCCCGTGGATCGCGCCGGATGGCGCTGGATGGCGCTGGATGGCGCGGGAGGGTCACTCACCATCATCGCGGCGGCCGCTGCGCTGCCCCCACCCCACAATGCACCGCGCACGCCCAGAACCTTCCCGGGGGCGGGGCCTCGGGGGGCTCACTATTTGGCAGCGGGGAGGAGCGAGAGGGCAGCGTTGCAAAGCCTGGGAGCTCACTATTTAGCAGCGCACGCCGAGGTGACAGCGCGCTGCCCGCGCCGGCTCGCGGTTGATGGATGGCCGTGTGGGCCAATAGAAACGAGGCGGGAGGGGGTGTTCCGCCAATGGCGGGCGCGGGGCGGGGCGGTGGGCGGGGCGCGGCGCAGCCATGCTGCCCTGGCTCTGGCTCTGGCTCTGCGGCTGCTGCGGGACGGCCCGCGGTGAGTGAGGGGGGCACGGCACGGGCCCCGCACGGCACCGACCCCCCCCCGACCCCGCGTCCGGACCCGGCCCCTGAACCCCCGGCCGGCCGCCTGCCTGCTCGGTGCTCCGCGATCCCCGTGTATTTCCACTCCCCGCATCCCGGCCTCGTTGCGATTCGCCGCCTGTACCCGTGGAGGGATGCGGGGGCATTTCCCCTCGCTGCGCCCCGACCTAATTGCGTTTCTGCTCCTGCATCCCGGTCTGGGTGCATTTTCCCCTCCTGCATCCCGATCTGGGTGCAATTCCCCTCCTGCATCCCAATCCAGCTACATTTCCCCTCCTGCATCCCGATCTGGGTGCAATTCCCCTCCTGCATCCCCATCTGGGTGCAATTCCCCTCCTGCATCCCGATCTGGGTGCATTTCCCCTCCTGCACCTCAATCCCGGTGCAGTTCCTCTCCTGCCCCCCAATTCAGGTGCATCTCCCCTCCTGTGTCCCAGTCCAGGTGCATTTCCCTCGGTGCACCCCGACCTAATCGCTTTTCCCCATCCAGCACCCCAATCCAGCTGCATTCCCCCTCGGTGCACCCCGAGCCCGTTGCTTTCCCCTCCTGAATCCCAATCCAGGTGCACATCCCTTCACTGCATCCTGACCCCGTTGCGTTTCCCCTCCGTGCCCTGTGATCCGGGTGGATTTCCCATCACTGCATCCCAGTTCCATGCCATTTCTCCTCCTGAACTTCCCCTCTGTTCACCTCAATCCTTATCCCCTCCATGGTCCATTTGCGTTTTCCTCTTCCCCTTGTGCACCCCAGTCCACCCCAATCCCAGAGCCTTTCCCCTCCATCCCTTCTTAGCTCCTGGGAACTGTTGTATCTCCCCTTGGAGCATCCCAAAACCCGACATTTTGGGTCCCGGGCCCAACCACGACCCAACATCCCAAAGAGTGTGTTCCCTCCCCTGTGGTTCAGGAGCGATAAGTGAGAATTTTCCCATTTTTCCAGGGATTTTCCCTGCGGTTTTCCTTGCCTCTCACCTCTCTCCATTCACCCCCAGGTCTACGCATCCATGAATATTTGTACTTCCAAGTGCTCAGTCCCGGGGACATCCGTTACATCTTCACTGCCACTCCAGCCAAGGATTTTGGTGGCGTGTTTGTAAGTATTTAAAACTAAATTTGTCACTCTGGCTCCCTCCATCCCAATATTTCTCCTTTGTGGGACTCAGTGATTTGGATTTTTGATAAAAAGGGAGCTAATTGCTCTTCCATGAGCATCCTGGGCCTCAGCAGGCTTCCAGAGGCAGGGATTGGGCTGGCTCTGTGGGACTTGGAATGGGGCACCTGGAAGCTCAAAATCTCCCCAGATGAGCAGGATGTGGGACATTGAGGGGCTGAAACGTGTCCAGGGAAGGGAATGGAGCTGGAGAGGGGTCTGGAGCACCAGGAGAGGCTGAGGGAGCTGGGGGGGCTCAGCCTGGAGAAAAGGAGGCTCAGGGGGGACCTTCTGGCTCTGCAACTCCCTGACAGGAGGGGGGAGCCGAGGGGTTTGGGCTCTGCACCCAAATATCAAGAGGAAAAATGACGTCAAGTTGTGCCAGGGGAGGTTCAGGTTGGATACTGCGAAAATTCCTTCCTGGAAAGGGTTGTCCAGCCCTGGCACAGCTGCTCAGGGCAGTGGTGGATCCCCATCCCTGGAGGGGATGTGGCCCACATGTGGATGTGGCCCTTGGGGACAGGGGTTAGTGGTGGCCTTGGCAGTGCTGGGCAGTGCAGGGACAGCTGGATTGGGACTGGGAATGGGAAGCAGCTCCAATGCCTCATCCCTGCCTGTTTCTCTCCTGAAGAACACAAGGTATGACCAGATCCACCTGGTCCCGGCGGATCCTCCGGAGGCCTGTGGGGAGCTGAACAATGGGGTCTTCATCCAGGACCAGATTGCCTTGGTGGAGAGGGGGTAGGTCTGGCATCACAGGGCTTTTAGGGGGACCCGTGGGCAGGAGGGGAGATGCCCATGGCACTGTCACAGTGCCATGGCCACATCTCCCCTTCAGCCCTTCTTCTCCATGTGGGTAAACGAGGAAAACACAAGGGTGTTCCTACCCCAGAGCACTTCATCTTGTGTCTTTTTAGCCTGTACTATGGTGGAAAAAATCCCATCTGGGTTCACACTGAGAGAGGTTTAGATGGGATATTGGGAAGAAATTCCTCCCTGGGAGGGTGGGGAGGTCCTGGCCCAGGTTGCCCAGAGAAGCTGTGGCTGCCCCATCCCTGGAAGTGTCCAAGGCCAAGTGGGACGGGGCTCAGAGCAACCTGGGCTAGTGGAAGGTGTCCCTGCCCATGGCAGGGGGTTGGAACTATATAATGTTCCAAGTCCCCTCCAACCCAACCCATCCCATGATTCTGTGATTCTATTTTATTTTTCCTTAGCAGTGTGGGTGGCTTGTGCCTAAAATAGAGACTCGGAGGAGCGCGGTTGGGGCGAGGCGCGGGATCGGAGAGACAATCCCTGGGCTGGGTGTCTCCAGGCAAGGCCCTGGCACTTCCAGGCTTTGCCCCTACCTGCGGGCACCGAAATTTTGTCCCTCTGTGCCCCAGGGGCTGCTCTTTCCTGTCCAAGACCCGAGTGATCCAGGAGCACGGCGGGCGGGCCGTGATCATCGCCGACAACGCCTACGACAACGACAGCTTCTACATCGAGATGGTGCAGGACAGCTCCCGGCGCACAGCCGACATTCCTGCGCTCTTCCTGCTGGGCAGGGACGGGTGGGTGCCCTGGCACATCTCCCCAAGGGTGGGACAGCTCATGGGAAGGGCAAAGCGATGCCTTGTCCCCACAAAACGGGGTCCCAGCGATCAGCGTGTCCCTCCTGGGCTTTGCGGGACGGATTTGGAGTGGATTCAGTCATGATTAATCCACAGTTGGAGCTTTATGGCTGAGTTGGAGCTGTGTGGTTGGAGTCGGGGTTTATGCTCAAGGCTGGGCTTCAAGTCTCCCAAATCCAGCGGCTCTGGAACAGCTGTCACCTCTTTATCCTTCCAGGTACATGATCAGGCGCTCCCTGGAGCAGCACGGGCTCCCCTGGGCCGTCATCTCCATCCCCGTCAACGTCACCAGCATCCCCACCTACGAGATGATGCAGCCCCCTTGGACCTTCTGGTAGCAGCAGGAGGCTGTGGCGGATCGTGGGCTTCCCAGTGGATCCCAGGAGTTTCCCCTAAGCACCAGGTTTGGAGTCCCAACGTCTTCCAGAGATCCCACTGGATCTGGCGACGGGGAGATCTTCCTGCTGGCCAAGTGCCAGGTGGGAACCTTGAGCCTGGCACTGAGCACCCTTTGCTGTGACTTTGTGGGAGGGAGGTGATGGCCCAGAGCAGGCCAGCGCTTCCCAGGAAACATCTGAACTTGTGCTGCTGATTTGGTGGGATGCAGGACTGGCAGGGATGGGAGGGAGAGCAACACAGGCTTGGTCTGGACCAGCAGGGCTCGCCCCATGTCTGTATATTTTTGTCTGAGCTAATGAAGTCTGGATGTTTTAGAAAAAGGGAAGTTTCTCCTTTTTTCTTTCAGCAGTCAGGGGATGAAGGGATAAATCTCATCTCCTAATATTTTTCCTAGTAAAATTCCCAAGGTGCCTCCTGCAGCTGGGGCAGCGCTCAGGCCAGACCCCAGACATGGGGTGAAACAGCCCCACGGCAGAGCCTCCAGCACTTGTTCCCAGGGTGTCCCTGGTCACAAATCCAGAGCCCACACTCCCACAGGTGCCTATTCCCTCATCCCCAGACCTGTGTCCCCACAGGACCAGCCCCTGGGTCACCCACCACGCTCCAGTTTACCAGTACAAACCACAGGGTCCCAGTTCTCACCAGTCTCGGTTTATTACGAACACTGAAGGGGACGCAGCCCCAGGACAGTTGGGGACAAGCAGCGGGGTCAGGGCTGGCGGTGATGGCAGTGTCAGGGGTGTGTCACCCTCAGCCCCACAAGCCAGCTGCCACGGACACAACGGCGGGAAAACAGCTCCCCAAAATCCATGAGGGAAGGGAATAACCCCGGAGCGCACCCCCAGCCTGCTGCCTGTCCATGGCCGGGAGCCGTGTTGTCCGCAGACAGGGACACTGCAGCACGTGGTGTGGCCTCGTCGGTGGCAGCGTGGGATGGGTGACAAGGGGACATCCACGTGGGGCCACTCGGTGCCAGGACATCTCTATGTGGGGCCCCTCGGTGCTGGGATGTCTCCATGTGGGAATTCAGGGTGGGGAAGCGCGCAGCAGCTCCCGCTCGGGCACATCCTCGTCCCACTGCCGGACAGAGGGACAACTCCCAATGTCCTTGGGGTTTTGGATGACACCACATGTCAGCTCTGAGATGCTGGGATGCTCTGGCCATTCTCCATCCCCAGATGGTCCTGGAATCACTGCTTGGGGCTGTGTTGTTGGAAGGACGGGCTGAGTCAGGAAGGAGGTGCCTGCAGGATCGGCTCTGCTCTCCCCGCTGGACTCAGGATCTGAGCCCCCCTCTAAGGTGTCCCTGTCCCTGCAAAATCCCCTCACTGCTCACCAAGGCATGGAATGGAGGATACATAAGGACCTCAGCTCCGTAGTGTGTAGACAGTGCTTATATAGACATTAAATAGTTCCCCTCCTGCACAAACACACAAACACACACACACACACACACACACACACATTCCCTCATCCCTGCGGGGCTGGAAGGACAAGCTCCTCCATATCCACGGCCGGCACAGACACGGAGCAGCCTCGCAGGTGGCCACAAGGAGGGGCTGGCTGGATCCTGCTCTCTCTTCCAGCTTCCTCTGCAAGCACCAGCCAGCCCCTCCGGGAAGCGGGATGTGGCAGAGGGACACCAGCTCACAGCCTGTCCTCACAGGGAGGACTGGGACAGCCTCACTCACACACACACACGCAGGGACAACACGGACAGGCGGGAGCAGGACCCGCCTCCGGCTGCCCCACTCCGGCACCTCCGCGCGGCCGCCCACCCGACCCCACAACACAACCCTGTTCCTTGGATTAAAGCTGCTGCCTCTGGGAGGAACCCCCAGTCCCTTCCCGTCCCTTCCTTCCCTTCCCTGTCCTCTTGCCAGGATCAAACGTCGGTCATCTCATCCTCCAGCTCGGCATCGTCCGTCTCTCCCTCGCCCTCCTCCTCCTCGTCCGACGTCACGTCGGCGTCGTCGGCTTGCGCCAGGCACTTGGGACACGAGCAGGTAAACAAGTAGTTCTCCCTGGAAAAATGGGAAGGAAGGAGGAAAAAGATGGATGGCACAAGCCCAGGCACAAGCTCAGGCTTGTGCCCTGACACAGGCACAAGCCCACACTGCTGCTGGGCAGGGGTCGGGGACAGAGCAGCCAGGAAAGGGGCTAAATGTGTTAAATCCAGAGGAGTTTGGGGGTTCCATCCTGCTGGTTCGGGTGGGGTGAAGGTATTCCAAGTGGGGAGGGGGATTTCTCAGCCCCACGGGGTGATGGGACACGGGGACAGTGACCACCAGCAGGAACCTCTACCCCTGAAGGGCAGAGAAGGAAGAGGAAGGTGGTGGGGACTGCAAAGGGTCTGCAGGAGCGAACTGCAGAGTGGTGCAGGGAGAGGGGGGAGCCCAAACCCTCAGTCCCCAGGGCTACAACACATAAGAAGGGAATTCTTATGTAGAATTCACACACAGCCACACACCACACAGGGCCCCAGGGTGGGAATGCTGCCCAGATGGACAGTTTGGGGATGCAAAGGGGTGTGAGGTCTCCAGGCCCAGGTACCTCCAGGCAGCCCCTACCTGAGTATCTTGTTGCGGCTGTGTCTGCTCCGCTCCCTCTGACAGCAATCTAAGTAACTGATGCAGATTTCCTGCGAGCAAAGAGAAACAGGTTGGGCTCAGGATGGCTTCCCATGACCCCAAAGCAGCACAACTTGTGCCAGGCCCTCTCGGAGTCAGGCAGAAAAGGGGTCTGGCAGCCCCTACACGGGACGGGGATCGAATTCCTCTGCCGGGACAACACGGGCGACAGGAGGTACTGGGGGATGTTGGGAACACAGGGATGATGCCAAGGTGTGATGTCACCACCCAGGCCCTGCTGTCTCACCTCTCCTGCTTCGATGTCCTCCAGAGCAGTGAGATGCAGGAGGAAGTTGTTTTCTGGGAAGGAGGTCTCGGCATTGGGGATGCAGCTGTGGTTACCTGCGGGCAAGACTTTGCTGAATGCTTAAGTGGCTTCTGGAAACTACATCATATCCGAGTCCATCCAAGCCAGGACTGACCATTCCACAGCTGGGCAAGGTGCCACAGACCCTGGGAGAGCAGCCAGGCCCCAGGGCAGCATCCATCCCATCCCATCCCATCCCAAGGCTGGGAAGCACAAACCCCTTTCTCCAGAGGCTTTTATGAAGAGATGAGCCAGCCTAGCACAGGACATTTCCCTCCTCGATCCTAGTTTTCCTCCCAGTCCTCATGTTACTTACAGCAGCTCTGGAGCACGTAGAGCCCTGATCCCTCGCAGTTGAGGAACTCTCCAGACTCTGCAGCACAGAGAGGTGGTGTTAAGAGCTTTACACAGACCATTCCAGCTCTTCCACATGGGAGCACAGAGGGATTTGCAGCAACGCGGAATGCACTGTCTTGGTTTTACAACCCAGCCAACGCTGCTTTGGGGCCGGGTGTGTGAGGGTGATTTCCCAAGCACCCTTCCCTCCTCATGGAAGGGGGTGGAGGGCAGGAAAGTTTGCATCCCCAGGCTCCCTGTCCTGCCCCTGCACTCCCACAGATCCTCACCCTTCTCAATGTCCTTGTAGAGCTGGTCGATGAAGGCGTCCAGCTCCTCCCGCTGCAGCATCGGCAGATCCAGCGCGTCACACGCGTGCACCCACTGGCTCAGGGAGCTGTGGGGAAGAGAGGGACACTGTTACAGTCTCATGGTGCTGTCAGGAAGCACAGGGACACTGTTACAGTCCCACAGTGGTGTCAGG